TGTTGGGAAAAAATTTACACGGAATAGCCTCTTGTTAATTCCATCAAAAATATTTTTAATCGGTGTATTTTTTCGCCGCTAAGTAAAAAGATTTTTAAGCAGGAAGTTTGCAGGACGTTGTTTGAAGAGTTACCATCGATATGAAATATTAATAATTATAACGAGAAACGTTTTTGGCTTTTTTTTACGTGATTAGTTTGGATGAAAGCTGTTGAAAATTGAAAATAAAATTTTAGAATTGTTACATCGGATTTGTTATCAAAAGACCTACATAGATTAAATTTTTGCCTTTTAATTAAGTTTTCGTGAAAAAGCAATTAAAATTAGTGATAAGAAAGAATCAGAATAAAAAGAAAGCAAAAAGTCCGCTGAATATGTTTGATGATGATTTAATTTAAACGTGCAGACAACCTCAAATTTTGTTTGCAATTTTTTTTCTTCTGTCCGCCGCTCAACTGCTCAACCTAATCTGAAATGCAATGAATGATTGCCTTCTGGATTATACATGAAAATATGCAATGTACGTGCATGCGCTTTCGAACGTACTCTAGTACATCTACGAATCCACATACGTACCACATGTACATCAGGGTGGTCACAAAAAATCAATGCTCGAAATCTTAAGGTAGGAACCTACTAAATTGTGCCACTTGGCTAAAAAATTACATTTGTAAAGTTTTAGCTCAATTGGATGATGCTAACCCTCGCCTAAACGAGGTTGAAATTTTTAAAAATTAGGAAAAAAACTTATTTTTTGTTTGTAAAATGAAAACAGTTTATCCTAAAAACATGACCTTAGTCTCATTTCGTTCATTTTTTTATTTTCTTAAAATTTTACTGCTAACATTTCTAGCTACAACTCATACTTTCTGAGATATTTGCATTTTTACACATAAACAGTAGAAAAATGTTGAATTCTTTTAATATGCAAAATTGCATAATAACTTGAATACTATTGAAAAATCACTTCTAATATTGAATTATTATATTTTTGTAAATTCCTGTTGACAAAGTATTTCGCAATTTGGTCAGGATTTTTTCATTATATCTAAGTCTGACAGGTTCAGACAGAAAATTAAATTCATAAAACTGGTTATATGTATGTTTGATAGTGTTGAATGTAAAACCATTGTGTTTGCAGCATCTGGTGCTCTGCTTCAATCAAGGTAGATGACGAAGGTGGTATTTTAATTAAAAATGTACCTCTCCAGAGAAAAGTTTAGTCTGATAGATTTAAAGAAAAATGGTTTAAAGATCTTTGTTTATTTATTGGTAGCATTTGAAGAAAATAAACAAATGAACAAAATGAGAACAAAATCACGTTTTTAGGATAACCCGTTTGTTTTAAAAACAAAAAATGTTTCAAAATTTAAAAAATTTTTCAAGATTTCAATCTCGCTGAGGCACGGGTTAGCATCATCCAATTGAGCTAAAACTTTACAACTGTCATTTTTTAGCCAATTGGCACAATTTAGGAGGCACTCCATTTAATTTTCCCAAAAAGGTTTTCACCTATATCCTTGTTACCACCCTAATGTACACACACAAATTCTCATACATAACAATACATATACAAATTCACAAACATACCATTATGTGACATAATGTATCTATATGTTGTACATGTACAATAATAATACGTTGGTAGACATAACCACAAAAAGACCTGCACACACATGGATTGAAGCTTACAGAAATGTTCAAAAAGCAAGGATCGCATAGAATAAACATTGCAAACAAAGAGGCAGGTGGACAGATGATGAAACACACACATTCAGATACATGTGTTGTGAACCAGACTCGTAAACATGTCAGAATTAATACGATCATTGCCAACCTTCGTTTTGAAGAGTGGTTAAGTTACATTAATATTTTAAATTACGTAAAAAATTAAGTGAATGAACTGAGTGAACAAATTAAATGAAAGAGTGACAAGTTCCTGTGCAAATGAATGGTACGTGGTACGTGCGTTCAGTCGTCATCCAGTTAGTATGACACGATAAAAACATTGAATGAGCACATATTAATAACATTATAATATTATATAAAACAAAAAGACTATTATACCAGATGTTATTGATATTAATAAAAATAATAAACGTAGTCATAGTTCTGTTGATGATGCTGGGGTAATTATGACGATGAATATGACGATGATGGCGATGATCATTAGAGTAAAATAAAAATGTATACCTGCTATCTGTGTGTATAAAATGCAATAAAGTTCTTAAATGTATTATGTTCTGTGTAGAATGTTTGTAGCACAAGACGACCCTGGTTCTGCATTGCAGTTGCAGTGACCGGGTTCGAATACGACGATATCTCCGTCTGTCACACGATCTTGCCTTTGCAGGCCTGCTTTGTGCTGTTAGGCGTTGTGCCAGAGTGAGGGTGTGTCGTTAAAGCGGTCTGCGCAGGCAATATTCCTGGTCTGTGCTTATTTTTGATTTTCAGTCGTCATCTTATTAGCTTAACACGGTAAAACCATTGAATGCGCACATATCGATCAGAAAAACCAGAATTTTTCTGAAATTTGACCTGAACTGTACGGAACGTGTGTGTGCTTGCCCAGTCAAACAACACGGTTTTAAACTAATTTTAACAGTATCATTAGATACTATTAAAGTTAGTTTAATTAGTGTCGTTAGATTGTGGAATGACCTTCCTGAAGATGTGGTGTGCTCTCGTAAAATTGCTGAATTTAAGAAGAATGTGGACAAATCATTGGTTTAACATTCCTTGGAAATTTGAATATGATTGTTATAAATAGTAAACAGTAAATGTTGTTGGACGTTATATGTTAGTTTAATTTATTATTAAACAATTGCAGAATGATTGCCATTAACTTCATTATTTTGTTTGTGGTTATTTATTATAATTAAAAAATACTGTATATTTTTATTTCAATTTATATTATGATACCGTTATGTCACTGAAGTTTTCTTTTATTTATTGTTTTATTTATTTAATTAATTATGTATTTTTTTGTTCCACTTCATGTTACGATTGTTTCTATACGTATTGTATGTATGATGTGGTGGGGTGTACACATATGTATCTGAGATGGTTTGTTTAATTATTGAATTTCTATTTAGGTTTCTATTCTGTTACTAAATCAGCTGTTGGTTACAAGCAAAAAATTATTTTATTTTAATAAATATTTTTAATTTATTCAAATTTTTAATGTATTTCCGTTAAAGAGTCGACTTGCATTCTGATTGTCGCAAAACGATATGTTTACTGAACAAAATAGAATTTGTTTTCTAAATATGTGCACAAAAATACTGAAAACATTTTTAACTGTCTAACTATTGTTCGAAGAAGACTGGACAAAAAACTTGAAAAATTATGTGACGTGTGTATAGATAGTATTGAGTGAATGGATTGAATGAATGCACCCTTAACACGCGGATTCAGGCCACGCATATTTGCCTGCGGGGTCTTGGGTTGAGCGATATATGGTTCAGTTGTTTTCCTCTAGCTCCGAATTTCTTAATTTAATTTTTTCCTTGATTAACGAATTTTCAAAAAAAAAAAAAATTTATTTTTTATTTTCTTTTTTTAATATTATAACTTGCATACTTGCACGGAAGCACCAAAGGTACTGGTGGGCCAGTCAGGCTGGCGCCACGTTACAAAAGGGCCAGGGTGGTTACGTCGCCAACTATAATATCATCACCACCGAAGATGGACAGACCAATGTTTTTTATCATTGAACCGCTAACACTGGATAATGACCACGACTTCCGAAAAATGTCAATTTTCAAAATCTGTAAATTCTTCCAAACCACTCTAGTAGAATTGAATTTCATTAAAATTCAACCAAACAGAATCTTGGTTAAATTAAAAGTGGAAACTCAACGAGATAAATTATTAAAAATCAATTCTATCCTGAATAAAAAAGTTAAATGTTATCCACACAAATCTTTGAATATAAGTAAAGGAGTTATCAGAACAACAATTTTTAAATACTGCTCTGAAAGTGAAATAAAGGAAGAATTAAAAAGTCAAGGTGTGATAGATATTTACAATATAAAAATAACCAAAAATAGTCAGAAAATTAACACAAACACCTTCATTCTAACATTCAATAGTCCCCAACTTCCAGGAGATTTAAAAGTTTGTTATCAATCAATCAAAGTTGAGAAGTTTATACCCTCTCCAACACAATGTACAAAATGTCAGAAATACGGTCACCACCATAAGATTTGCAAGAGTAAAGGTGTTATTTGCTCAAGGTGTGGAATTGTAGGACATAAGCACACATGGGAAATCCCATGTCAAAATACCCCAAAATGTTACCACTGTGGACATAACCATGAAACCTTTTCTAAAGAATGTTCAAAATTCAAATTGGAAAAAGAAATATTAAAGACAAAAGCTGAAAATAATGTATCATATATCCAGGCGAGAAATCAGATATATCAACAGAAAAAACCATTATATTCCCAAATAATTACAAAAAAAGCAATGGTAAATAAAGAAACCCAATGCAATCTCATAAAAGATCCAACAAACTACTGCATGACATATTTAAAGAAAAAACCATCTAATATTGATAAATCTCATAAAGGAAGAGGGAAAAAATTGGAATCAGATCATGATGATGACGACAGGAGCAGTACCAGTAAAAGTAACTATAATGGTAATAGTGTTAATAAAATTGGTAGTCATAATAATGGTAATGGTAATAATAATGGTAATAATAGTAATGATGATGATAATAATAAGAATAATGGTAATAATAAGGGTAATAATAATAATGGTAATAATAAGAAAAAAAATAAAGATCCATATTCATTCTCTACTGATGAGGATATGAAAAGTAGTGATGATAATGAAGTATTTTGAAGTATTTTGTAACAATGATGATATTTTTTTTTTTTTTTTTTTTGAAGGATGACCAAAAAAGATAAACTTGTGGATAGGCCCAATATTAATGTAAATAATATCAAAAGGGTTACAAAAGATAACAATGAATATGGCTTCTAGTAAAAAAAATGCCAACAATAGACATACAAACAAGGGATAAATCAGACATATTAAGCAACAATGATGATCATAAATCAATTAAACGTCAAGATGATATAATGCATAAAAATCCCAATAAGATTAGAATCCTACAATGGAATATAAGAGGAATGAAAAATAATTTTCCAGAACTACAGATCTTAATCTCCAAATATAATCCTCAAATCATATACTTGCAAGAAACTAAGGTTACTGATGACAAGCAAATAAATTTGAAAAACTTCAAGGCTTACCATAAATCAGCCATACCAACAAAAACAAACCCATCGGCAGGAACATCAATTTACATCCATCACGATATAACACAATCTCCAGTTAAAATAGAAACTAATAATCATTTTATAGCAACAAGAATAACAATCCACAATAAATCCATAACAATATGCAATGGGTATATAAAACCAAACTCATTGATCAAATCACAAGAGTTAAAACATTTAATTAAACAAATCCCTAAACCATTCATATTATTGGGAGATTTCAATGCTCACAACAAAATCTGGGAATGCTCAACTTCCAATGCTCAAGGAATACACCTAGAAAAAACAATAATAGAAAGCGATTTCTGCCTAATCAAACCAACAAAAGCAACAATGTATCATGATCATACAAATACTTCATCAACAATAGATCTAGCCATGACCACTCCAGCCATTTTAGAATGGGATGCAGAAGACGATTTACATGGCAGTGACCATTATCCAATAATTTTATCCATCAAAAATATAAGAAATTATGATTTGAAAAGAATAAATTACAATAAAACAGATTGGACTGCATTTAAAACCATGACAGAGGAAAGAATGAAAAATTTTAACACAATTGATGATGAATCAATGAACAAATGGATAAGGATTATAACAACAATCATAGACCAGATTACACCAGTTATAAAAAATAAAAGTGGTAAAATATTAAATCCTTGGTTTAATGAGAAGTGCAAAAATGCAATCAAGCAAAAACAAAAAACATTCAAAATATTTAAAAATAACCCTACCCAAGTCAATCTCATAAACTATAAAAAATTCAAAGCAGAAGCACGTAGAATAGTGAGAGAAGAAAGGAAATTCTCCTGGATTTCATTCGTCAGTAATCTCAATGTCAACACTTCAGCAGTAAAAGTATGGGAGATGATCAGAAAAATTAAAAACAAATATAATACTAACAAAAACAGCCATATTATTGTTAACAATAAGGAATATATAACTATATCCAATATTTTGGCCAACCACTTCCAGCAAAATTCAAAAAATTTAAACAACCAATTTGCAAACATCAAATCAATAGAAGAAAGTAAAGATCTGGATTTCAATTCAAAAAATTTAGAGCTATACAACTCTCCTATATCAATGAAAGAAATGATGTATGAAATTAACAATAGCAACGATTCCACTCCAGGTCCAGATTTAATTACTTACAAGATGCTTAAAAACTTGCCACAAAATGCACTAATGATACTATTGAAAATTTACAATAATATTTGGTACAACTCAAGTCTTCCAACTATATGGCTCCATGCAACAATAATTCCGATAAATAAGCCAAATAAGACCAAATTACAACCTGAAAACTATAGACCAATATCCTTAACCTGTTGCACCTGTAAAATAATGGAAAAAATAATCAATAAAAGATTAAATTGGTATCTGAAAACAAATAAAATAATATCAAACTCACAATGTGGTGGGATTAAAGAAAGATCTACGTTAGATAACATACTATATCTAGAAACCCATGTCAGACAAGCTTTAAACAACAATGAACAGGTGATAACAATCTTTTTAGACATAGAAAAAGCTTATGATAAAGCCTGGAGGTATGGAATTACTAGAGTACTACATCAAGCAGGATTAAGAGGAAACCTACCCAAATTTATTCAAAACTTTTTAATAAACCGATTCTTTCAGGTAAAAATTAATAATATATTTTCTGAAGTAATGCATCCAGAGTTAGGCATCCCTCAAGGAAGCATTTTGTCACCAAAACTGTTTTGCTTACTCTTGGATGGCATAACAAGTATAATTCCAAAAAAAGCAATAGCTTCACTGTATATGGATGACATAACAATAACTTTTAGAAATAAAAATATTGAAATAATGAAGGAAGAAATAAACAGATTTTTGATTTCATTAGAAAAATGGGCAATTGAACATGGAATAAATTTTTTAGAATCTAAAACAAAAACCATCCTACTCTCAAAAAACGAAAAAAAAATATACCCAAAATTAAAATTTCAAGAAAATTTCATCGAATTTACTCAGCAATATAAATATTTGGGAATAATCTTAGACTCCAAACTTAATTTTATTCCGCACATCCAGCAGGCCAAAAAAAAATGTTTAAAAGCACTCAACCTTCTAAAAGTTCTATCTCATCATACCTGGGGTTCAGACCAAAAACACTTAATGACAATCTATCAAGCAATGATAAGGTCAATAACAGACTATGCTAGTCCTGTCTACGGATCAACAAGGAAATCATATCTGAAAATTCTTCAACCAATAATGAACGAGTCATTAAGAAAAGTCTTGGGAACTTACAGAACATTGCCATCTAGCAGTTTACATGTTTTGTCTGGGGAGATGCCTTTAACATTTAGACATCAAAAGTTAGCATTGAATTATTATTTAAAAGTTAGGTCTCAGCCAAAAAATCAGAACTACAAATTTATAAACCAGAATCATCAAATAAAATGAAAAGCTATACAAACATTCCCAGCAAGACTTAATGAATATATCAAAGGTCATAACAAAACTAATATTTTGAAAGAAATGGATTATGAACACCCGCCTTGGCTATTGCTGTATCCGGATGTTGATATCAGTATAAATTGAACAGTAAAAGATGAAAATTTAGCAAAATTTTATTTAAAGAAAAAATCCATAAAAATCCCAATTCCACAAAAATTTATACGGATGGCTCAAAAAAGGAGTTCTCAACGACAGCAGCAATAGTTGTTTACCAGCAATCAAAGATTATACATAAGCTCATGAAACATCTTCCAAACTATACATCAATTTTTACGGCAAAGATCATTGCTATTGAGATGGCGATAAGCTATGTATCTAAATTCAATAATAACAAATTTTTAATATTTTCAGATTCATTATCTGCAATCTCTGCACTTAATCAATAAAGCCCTCAACATAATCTGATAAAGCAAATACAAAATAATATACATAATAACTTGACTAATAATAGTAATAAAATAGCTTTGATGTGGATTCCCAGTCACATAGGAATTCATGGCAACGAAAAAGCAGATCAAATCGCATCACAAGCCCATGCTATCCCAATATCAAATGTACCAATTCCATACAGTGATTTAAGAACTTGGACAAAAAAAATTATGAATGAAAAATGGCAACTTGAATGGAATAAGATTAACAATTATCTTAAACTATCCATGCCAAGTGTTTATAAAAAAAAATCCAGATGAATCTAAGGGTTTGAACCGTAAACTGAGGACAATTATTAATAGGCTAAAAATAGGCCATTCAAAATACACTCATTCTTGGATAATCAACAAAACAAATCCACCAGCATGCAACTTTTGTGATGAAAAACTTTCTGTACAACACATATTGGTGGAATGCAAAAACCATGATGATATTCGGAAACGATATCAGATCCCCTCAGATATTGAAAAAATTTTCAAGAGAGAAAACATCAATAATCTAATAACATATCTTCAGGAGATAAAAATAGTCGACAGAATATAGAAATATTTGAAAAAAACTCAAAAAAACCGTAAGACAATTTTGTTTCAAAAGAGAAAAGGGCGTAAAGATAGCCAGTAGCGCTGAAATGCCGTTAAACTGCATTATTAATAATAATAATATTTGCTTGCCTTATGTGTGTTGTTTATACTTTTGAGTAATGTCACAAAGGAGAATAACCATTAGCATTATCATCATTTGTTTATTAAACTCATACATTTTAATCATTTAAATATGTGTAACAACCAGCCACACCATCTGTTCGTTTCTGGATTCTTTCCGGACAAAAAAATATTGGTGTCGTCTGTAAAAAGTACCGAAGTACAACGATCAGACTACTGTAAAATATATATCATTCACAAATAGTTCTAACACCGACCCTTGAAGGACCAATTTTGGTAACAGGTAACAGACAATGATATAATATATATAATATATAAGGACTTATTAAGCCTGTACTGAATTTGACTTGTTAGAATTAGGGCAAAGTTAATAAAATCCCAATATAAACACTGACAAATTTAAAGCTAGTTTATAAACAGCCCCATTTAAATTACATTATTTAAATTTTGTAACAAATAAAAAAGTAATACTTCTAAAAAGATGCCAGATTATTTACTTGAATGTGAGTTTAGTATATTTATTTATTGTAACAGCCATTATCTATTAAAACACCTTCGGGGCGAAGATAAATCTTCATTATCTCCCTCTGATAAGCTAAAACATTTTTACATATTGTCAACAGCAATTTTAGTGTCACATTCATTATTCACAAACAAATAAAATGAAAAAAACGAACAAATAACTTTGGTGAACCGTAAGTTCCAAAATCCGATAAGTTGATATTAATATGGAAGTTTAAAAGGCAGGTATACAATGACATACATATGTGTAAAAAAATAAATTTGTGAAAAGTAATTTAGTATGATAAAGATTACAAACACAAACTAACCATATAAATGCTTTCCAAGAAGTCTTGCATCACGTGCATTCCCCGCCTGTTCAATAAAAACAACTTTTAATACTAGCAATAAATGATAAAAATAAACTCATACCCAAATTTTCAATGTGAAATTCGTACAGACCAACAGCGCAACGGTTGAAATGAATCTTTGTGCAAACATTTTCACCAACTATGATGACGTAACAAAAGCCGATTGACAGAAATAAACATTTAAAACCAAATTTTGTTAAAAAAATAACGACAAACGATTAGACGAGAACATGAGCAAATTAAAGAAGAATATAGCCAAACAAATGATTTTATAGTGCCAGGCGATCAGCACACGTGCGCATACTACGTCCATTACATGGAAGCATGCAAGCGCACGTATATGAATACATGGAGCGGTGATGGGGTGGGAAGTTGTCGCCAGCTGGTTGCTCCCATGCAGTGCGTGAACAAAATATTAATATAACGATTAAATAATAGTTTATTAGATCAATCTTATCGTCATGTTATTGAGTTTAACATTATGTCCCTACTCTATTACTTTATGGAGTACTTCTATGTTTTTTTAAGCTTAATCCTTCTTAGTTTGAACTAATTTGTTTTAATAAGTTTAAAAATTCTATTGGTCTTCCTTCGATAAATTTAACTCCAGATCCGTCTTTAAACTCTTTTTCTTCTATTTGTGGTTTAAGTTTTATATTTGACTCGACTATTTCATTGTCTCCTTAAATTTATCATGTCACTAAAAATTTTTATTTTCATTAGGCTAAAATTAAATCTTTTCTCGATAGTCCTAAATTTCAATTACCTTTTTCTTTGCAGGTCTCATCAACCAATCAATCAATCAATCAGTGAAATTTGATTAGCTCAATTTCTAAAAATTCAACTAGACCCAGCCAAAAATTTGCAAACAGACAATTTCGAAAAATTGATTGTTGTCACTCTATTTTGGGCTTCCTCTATACCGTTTAAAGCTTTCAATTCTGGCACTAGCTTAGTTTCTCGTGTTCCTATGTTTACTCATATTTGATATTTCTCCCTTTTTAAACTATTACATTGGCTACCTTTTAAATATAAAATTGTTCTTAATTTACGCATTTTGATGTTCAAAATCATTAGTTTTCCTATATATGATTTTGATCTTTTATCTTAACCTAAACTTAGATGATCTTCCCATTCTCACTATTTCATATCTGTTAAACACTCGTTCATTAAGCTTGCTTTCGCTTACTCTGATGGTCCATTTTTATAGAAATCATTACCTGTTACTCTTCTAGATTAAATCACTTTCATTATTTAGAGCCGGTCTCAAACCTTTTTTGTTTAAAAAATTGTTAGACAAATGTTGTCGACCAAAATAAATGATTGGCTGTTAAATTGTTTTATTGGATGTTTCTAAGATTAATTCGTCGCTTAATTGACCATTTGATTTTTTGTGCGATGTTTTTGATTAATTTTGATTTTTTATTGTTTAATTACTTAGTTTTTACTTTTTTTTTAATTTTAAAATTTCAGTTAACTGTTTTTTAATTTTTTTGAATTTGAACGGTTATTTTAAGATATTAAACGGTGGCCTCCTACAAGTTTTTACTTTTTGGCTTCCATTTCAATTCATTTTATTGTTTGTTGTGACAAAAATAAAAATGTATCTATCTATAAAAAAATTACAAATAAATATAAAAATATAATGGCTTACCTTCCTTTCGTTTCACGTAAAAAATAAATGCATTCTATTTTTAATCGTAAAATGTTTACGCTCCCCTCAGCATTGAACCGAATACAAGATGCTTACAGTTTCGATGTAGCAGCCGTCGACAGGCTAAAACTAGACGTCGAGATATTGGATGGCCCTGAAATGACCGTTATTTACGTACAAGTTTGTGTGGGTCTTTAACCACCGAAACCGTAGAGGGTACTTCCCTGTCTTTTGAGTGCGTGCACGACGTCCATGGCCGTCACGGTTTTTCTCTTTGCGTGCTCAGTGTAAGTGACAGCGTCCCTGATGACGTTTTCAAGAAACACTTTGAGAACGCCTCTGGTCTCTTCGTATATCAGACCTGATATGCGCTTAACCCCGCCTCTTCTGGCCAGGCGGCAGATTGCGGACTTTGTGATGCCCTGGATGTTGTCTCTGAAAACTTTGCGGTGACGCTTGGCTCCACCTTTACCCAAACCTTTACCATTTTTTCCCCTTCCAGACATGATTGATCAACTCGATTGTTAATAAAGAAACCAAGCCAGACAACTAAGCGACAGTATAGACAGACTGATTGCGATTGAATGAACGACGACATTTATATACAAGAAACTAAGACGTTTACCTCGTAGAGAGCTCTTCCGCCACGTGCCAGAATACGGTTCTCACTGTTAATCTTTTGTAAATCTCACCATAAAACATTTGTTTGCTATGTGTGTGAACGGTTTTACATTTCATACAACGCATATGACGTTAGTTTACTTATCATGCTATTAATTGCTTGTTCTAGTTTCTTTTTTGCTCTTTCGCTAAAAACAAATTTCGTGACACAAAATGCAAAGAACAACTACGACATGACAATGAAAGGATGAAAATTGTAAAACTTAACTAATAACGGCAACCGAAATTCCATTTTTACATGTTTTTGAAAATGTACGTCCAGAGTGTTCGTTTGTGCACTGCATTTAGTAAAAAAAAATTACACAGTTTCCAAATTAGTGAATAGAATGCATCAGCAGTTACCACCAAATTTTATAAGCAAATACATATATATTTTTATTCCTCGGTAATCGTTGCGCTTCAGCCCTTCAACAATTTCATCGACAGACAGTAGAGTACAATTTCATCGACAGACAGTAGAGTACAATTTCATCGACAGACAATTTGTTCCCAAATTATCAAATCCATTTGCTTTTGTAATAAAATATGTAAAACTTCCTAATGAGACATATACAACAAAATTGCCGAAAAATCATTGAAAAAATTGAAAAAGGCTTTAATTCTTTAACAAATTTAATTGAACTTGATAATTTTAAAATGGAAACAAATTAAAAATTGTAGCGCACATACAAAACATATTTTATACATACAAAACATCTTTTGTTTTGTCAATGATCAAAAGCTTGAATATTTTTTTACTTAGATATACACAAATTAATTTTTTCTTTGTTTCAGTGGTCGATTACTTTGAGTTGGTGTACTTGGTGACTGCCTTGGTACCTTTTGCAGACGGCGTTCTTGGCCAACTCGCCGGGTAACAGATTTATTCAAAGATGTCATTGACAAACGAAAGCATTATTAACATGGATTTGCCTCTAGTGCCCGTGCCCGGATGAACTTGATTCAGCACTTTTTTTATGTATATAAAATAGTTTTTCTTTTGCCTTCTTTTGTGCTTCTTGTCCATGCTGCGAGTAGCTTTCGCCTTGCTGGCGGTCTTCCTAGAATCCTTGCTGGCAGACTGTGGTGGCATTGTTCTGATAGAATAAATGAATAATAATCAACGAATAATTCAATTCAATTCAAACGTTCAATTCTCGCTGGCTAATATATATGAGCGAGCTAGGCGAGTGAATAGATCACGTGACTCGCAACACTTATTTAAGAACGAGATGATGTGCGCGTGAGAGAGCGTGCCTGTGCGCGAAAAAAAAGACAGTTGAGTGGAGAAAGAACAAATGTACGAGACAAAAAAAGGTGATAATTGCGCGCGCCTAATTTTGAATTTTAAAGATTGTGTATTCAAAATTATTTAATTCCCATTCGCATGATTATTTGAGTTATCAATTTTTTGCTAAATATGAATCAGTCGATATTGACGAATAAATAAATATTTGATTAAATGTATAAAAAATAAATAAAAAAAATTTAATGTATACTTATGCATGCACAATAAGTCAATAAATATCAATAATATAACGTCTATACACGTTGTAAACGTGTGTAGAATTATTCAACTTGTTCTCTAGAGCTGCTTTCTTCTAATTTACTTATAGAAATTTTTTCAATATTTTATCCAATCATTCTCAAATTAGTTAATTTATCTCTTTCACCTTCTAAATTTCCTTCTTCTTATAAGAATTCTATTGTTATTCCCATTCTTAAAAACTCATTTTTAGATCTTTCCTCTTTATCTAATTATAGACCTGTTACTAACTAATATTACTTTCATCTCTAAAATAATAGAAAAAATAGTTTATAATCGATTATAATCTTATTTAAACTCTAACTTCTTGCTACCTGTATCTTAATCTGGTTTCAGACCTGCTCACAGTACTGAAACTGCTTTACTCAAAATACATAATGATATCCTTATCTCTAGTGACAATAGTAATCTTACTTTTCTTGCTCTTGACTTTTCCTCTGCTTTTGATACTGCTAATCATACTATTCTCTTGAGGCTGCTAGATCTTTTTTTTAATATTACTGATACTTGTCTATCTTGGTTTTTTTCTTATCTCTGTAATTGTTTTTATTCTGTTCTCAATAATTATACTTCTAACTTCTCTACTCTTACTTCGGGGTACCTTAGGGTTCTATCTTTGGCCTTCTTTTATTTATACTCTATACTTCTAAACTACATCGTATTATTAATATTTTTTCACTAGTCAATTATATGCTGATGATTTTTATACCTATACTTATTTTCCTCCTTTTAATCACAATAGTATTCTTCATAGTCTATCTCCATGTCTTTCTTCAATTATCGCTTGGTTTGACTCTATGTGTCTTAAACTTAATCCTTCTAAATTTGAATTAAATTGTTTTAATAAATCTAAACACTCTATTACTATTCCTCCTATTACCTTACCTGATTCTAAAATTCTCGATGTTTCTCACAAGTTTCGTAGTCTAGGCTTTACCTATGATTCTAGTATGCCTCTTTCTTCTCAGATTAATAGTGTTGCTAGAAGTTCTTAATTCCATCTACGTAGAATAAAAATACTTTTGCCTTTTCTTGACGATCCTACTTTTCTCCTTGTTACTTCGTTAGTCTTATCTAGGATTGATTATTGTAACTCGCTCTTCTATGATCTTCCTGATTCTACACTCTATCCTATAAGTAAAGCTTTTAACTCTGCTGCCAGTCTAGTTGCTTGTGCCTCTTTCTTTTCTCACATGTCTCCATATATTGTTCTCTTGCACTGGCTACCTATAGAATAAAGAATAATTTTTTAAATTTGCACATTAAGTCTCAATCTAAATTATTTCCTAAGTATTTATCATATATATTAATTGAACCTAAACGATTATTTTCTTGTTCTCATTTCTTCTTAAGTCGTGTTAAACACTCTTTTGCTAAATCTGCATTTGTTGTTTCTGGCCCTTTTTTCTGGAACTTTCTACCTCCTTCACTTACGAAGTTCAGAGCGGATCTCAAGATCCATCTGTTTGCAAAATTCATTGAGGAGCGCTGTTGAACTTCGCGAAAATAGCGCTTTATAAACTAATTGATAGCGTGTGTGTGTGTGTGCATGTAACGTAAATAGAACTGTTGCAAAAAGTCTAAAAACATACAGCAATATTATAACGACATGAAGTATATGTACAAAAATGAATTTACAAGCTTCCGGTTATTGGTTGTGAATGCATACCGCGTCACGTAATATATTAAAAAAACTATTCGAAAGTTACTATCATTGTTGAGAATTAGGTATAATTTGCAATTATTGCAAGATTCTGATTTTTTTATTATTTAGTTTACATAACATTATTAAAAAATATGTGGAAGAGGAAAGGGCGGCAAGGTCAAATGAAATGCCAAGTGCAGATCAAGCAGAGCTGGTTTGCAGTTTGCAGTAGAAAGAATACATAGGCTGTTGCGCAAAGGCAACTACGCCGAGAGAGTAGGAGCCGGAGCGCCAGTATATCTAGCGGCCAAAGTTCTAGAGTTAGCCGAAAACAATGCCAGAGACAACAAAAAGACCCGTATCATCCCTCGTCATCTTCAGTTGGCAATAGGAAACGATGAAGAGTTAAACAAGCTCTTGGCCGGAGACACCATCGCCCAGGGTGGCGTTCTTCCAAACATCCAAGCCATCCTCTTGTCCAAGAAGACTGCTAAGGTTGGCGGAAGCGGTTCCGCTATTACTGGAGGAGTCAGTCAGGCTAGCCAAGCCAAGTAGAAAAGTACATCGACTACACCACCATAACAAAAAGCTCTTTTCAGAGCCGCCCAACTTTAACGACTGTTTGCATGCTCTTTCGCTATTGCTTCTGCCAATTATTTTTTTTTAAACAACTAAACATTGTTTTGTTGCCAAACTTTTCCATACATAAACTAATCGATTGAATTTTATGCACCTAACCTTATATCTGATTAACAGCGACTGTTTTTACATATTTTTGAGATTGTGCGTCCGGATTGTTTGTTCACGTTATTTAGTAAAAAATTGCTTCACATAATTATTTTGCGCTTGCATTAATGTTAATGAATCGAAATGCATCAGTTGTTACCAACAAATTTTATAAGCAACAAATATAATTTTAATGCTCGGTCAACGTCGTGCTTCAGCTGACGCTCTATTGAAAAATTCTCAAATGGCCAAAATAATGTCATTTTTCTGAACTCGATCGAGATTTCGGTTTATTAGATAACTTTTGTGATTTCCGGCCAATATAGCGATGTGACAGAATGATTTTAAAATGTGCTGCATTTTCCACAACATACAATAAGTACAACTGACATTCGCTTTCGATATTTTTGCTAATTTATTTGCATTTTAAATATGAAATGATGATGATTATTACTGTAAGAGAGTAGTTTACCTTCATCAAATAACTAATGCAATCAAATATACGCTGTGGAGTTAGCCTTGTAATTGTCGGCCAATATAGATTAACCGATGCTTGATCTTATTGACATTGTGTCCGTTTTTAATAACTCACTCGACACGGCTTACACGCAATCACAATTGGCTATAATGTGTAATAATTTTATTGGATCACTCATTATATCAGTTGATTGATAAAAACATGTGACAGGTGGCAAGTTTTTTCACGCTTTTTCCCATATAGAAACACGATCCTAACCAAGTAGTAAATGTTACGAAAAACCAGAGCCAACAAATGAACGAATAAAAAAAACACACACACAAAAGTGGAGTTTAATTAACCAGGCAAGGTTTGTCAATCGTTAAATTTGGTGGCTCTGAAAAGAGCCGTTTGTCTCGTTAGAGGTAGAAATTAAGCACGTTCGCCTCTGATTCTGCTGGCAAGCTGGATGTCTTTGAGCATGATAGTGACGCGTTTGGCGTGAATAGCGCAGAGGTTGGTGTCTTCGAAGAGGCCGATCAGGTAAGCTTCGCTTGCTTCCTGCAGAGCTATGACTGCTGAACTCTGGAAGCGAAGATCGGTCTTGAAATCTTGAGCTATCTCACGCACCAGTCTTTGAAAAGGCAGCTTTCTGATGAGCAGCTCGGTGCTTTTTTGGTAGCGCCTGATTTCTCTGAAAGCTACTGTACCCGGCCTGTAACGACGAAATTTCTTGATACCTCCGGTAGCCGAAGCACTTTTTCTGGCAGCCTTTGTGGCTAGCTGCTTGCGAGGTGCCTTGCCACCAGTCGACTTGCGAGCTGTCTGCTTAGTTCTTGCCATACTTGTCTGGAACTTGTTTAAACGAAAACACGCAGACCATGAAATAGCACAAACCATCAATAGTTAGAATACAGAGAACGCACTACACACAACTATTAATACAAGCACGAGATGAGCCGCGGCCTGATATAAAGCTCTCAAATCACGTGACTTTAGTCCAATCATGTAAACGTGTGCAGCAAACAATTCTAATGTGATCTTGTTAGTTTTGAAACTTTTTAAATAATTTACAATTACTAGAAATTGTAAATAATTGGTTTGTTTTTCTATTTGTTTATTATTAATTAATTTGTTTGTTATTCATTCATTCATCTTTTTAACGTCAGTATATTTAGCAATTCATTTTTTTTAATTTAGTTCTTAAATTAACGACATTTAGATTTATACTTTTAGATGGTGATTAGTAATCAACAAATACAATCGCCTAGACAAAACTGTATGAATCGCTTATCTTTTGTGCAGTATATACAGCAAACTGCTCTAACTTTTTTTAAAACTCTATTTAATCTTCTTACCTGATAAAAATGAAAATTTTGCAATCCGTTTATTGAGCACGTAAATTTTTCATGTTAACCGTGTAACTTTAGGGTGCTTGCTATTTCAATGTTTTCAATAGTTTTATTCATTGAATATTCATGTGTGCTATTTTTCATTTTTGTTTTTGAAAATTTTAGGCATTGAGGCAGGTAATATAAACCTCAATGGTTTTATGTTGAGTTCAGTTGAATTTTTAGGAGTTTGGCTATATAAATTTGATTGAATCCGGATGATATTTATAACATTCTAGTAGTTTTCGCTCTCGTATTTGATAAAAAATAATGAAACATAATTACGGGTTTATACTTTTATTATAAACAATTGATTGATTTTAAGGTTATCAAAGTCACACCGATAACTTATCATTATTTGTTGGTAAACAAATTTTTTGCTCAACAACAGATACAACTGAAATAAATTTAAACATATAAATGGGTTGTCGGTGAATGTCGAAAATTCAGGTGGCTGACTAATGTTTCCTATAAATCAATGTTTTGTTGTTTGCAGGCATATCAAACTGGTGGTGGAAAATATAATCTATCAAATGACAAATTTCTAAAGATTAATAAAATGTAATAAAGCATTACAAGAAAAGTAAAATAGGAATAAATATAATAAATTTCATAACAGCAACCAAATTGAAATCTGGAATCCAAAGAAAGAAAAAAAAACAAACAATTTTCTCCAACTTCATTCCATTGTCTTCAGCAACTTTGTTCAACTGTGAAACATCTCTCAGTCCCCACTCAAGAGTTCTGTTTGAAATAATTAATCAAAAACAATTTGTCAGAACGAAATGATGATAGCCAATATGAAATAGTTGCATTAACTCTGAAAAAAGCTCCCGAATATATTTGATGATGATGATGTTAGGATATGGACTGATATGTCGATAATTCATATCTAATTATGGAATTTTTATATTAAAAATAATAATTTAAGTTACGCAGTTGAAAGAAAACAAACTGGGATTTGAGCTGCTTATCGAAACTGATGTTGTTCTTGTGAATGAAATCTCCATAAACAATAAACGGCTAATTGAATTATTATTTTGGTTAATTATACACAATTTTTTATTAATTAAAATAATTTTTAAGTAAATTTAAATAAATGATGTGAGAAATTAATAAATGAATTGATAAACTAAACAAGAAATTTAGATATAAAAAGCTCTAACACCATATATAACAAGGGATCCATTTGGTTTCAAATAATAATTGGAGCCAGAAAATAAACCCTGCACATTTTGTGTTAAAAAACTTGAAATAAAATTTCACAATTTAGAGATCAAGCAACATAATATATAATAATATAATGCTAATATATCACAGTAATAAAACAAAACAACCAGTTTACCTCAGTTGCTTGCCATTTTGAAATGTGAGTCATATTTATGCAGAGAATGCAATCAAAATGACATCTTTGGTACATACCATTGAACCAAACACAATGATTTGTAGTTGCATCGATTGCAAGTGGTTTGGAAATATTTGAATTGTTTTTATTACTGCTGGCAAGTTTCTGATTGATTCTTGAAATGGAAACCATTAATAAAATGATGCAATTGAGAAAAAATAGTATTCATATAAAAAATTTACATTTCTCATTAGGATTAATTTAAATTTTAAATGTTGAACTTATCAGGCTTTCAATCGAATTAAAAAAAAATAAACCAAAGTTTTTATAAAAAAAATCTTAAAGTAATTTTGTGGATAAAAATGTTCACGAAGACTTGGATTGGCATTGTTCAAACTTCAATAACAATGTTAAATTATTTAACACAACAACAATTTTTTTTTTATTAATGGAGACCTGAAGCAATGCTTGTATGGCCACCTCCAAAAAAAAATAATAACATAACATAATATGACCAGAAATAAACAAAACACTATATAACATAATTAGCAGCAAAAAGAGATGTTGCAAAACTGAAATAGTTCAATTTACTATTTTACTTTAACATGAAAATCTCTAAAATTAAAGTTCTAATCAATTAAAATATAATTTTAATGTTCATAATATAAAAACCAAAGTGTCATGAAAAGTGTCATGTCATTTATATAATATATTAAATAAATACTTGTTAACACAAGACTGATCTCCATCTGTTGGTTGCCACTTGACGTTATCAAAGAATTTCGCAAAATATGTCACATGATATCCCCACCCTCTTAAAAAATATTATTCTTAGAATCTTACATTATTTTTACAATATTATAAATAAATAATTAACATTAATTAATAACATAAATAAATAAATATGACAGATTATGATTATAGAGATTATAAGATTTATATAAAATCATTTATTTTCAAATTTACAATAAAAAAATAGTAATAATAAATTGATTAAACAATTAATTTAATAATTATTTTAATACAACATTCTATAAATATAAATAGATTTTTTCAGTTCTTTACTCCCCACTAAACAGTAAACGATTAACGCACTAACCTGAGGCGATTTCCAAAACATTAACGAGGCCGTCAGGAGAAATAATTTGCTTCAAGACATTTAGGATGGGATCCCTGTTCCTTTCAAACGGACCCGACATTGTCCGAGAGACGGGAACGCGAAAAGGAAAAGAAATGGACGACGACAACCAGACGCTTTTGTTCAGTACCGAACGAATTATCATTAACAACTCGACAACTAGCTAGTAGTATATTAATTAAACCGTAAACTATTTTCCAGACAATACTAAAAAATGGTGTTTAAAGATCTTGGAACATAGGAATAAAGTAACTCGACTAAAGTACTGACACATACCGATCAGGACCGATTTCACTTTTCTCATGTTTTTACATAGCAAATGCTGCATACACTTAGCTGCTTAGATGTTTACAAAATTCAAACTCATTTGTAAATGACGGAGGCGGGATGCGGGATAACATGGAATTCTTTCTAGGTACCGTACATGCTAGATCCCATCATTTTTCAGTTCCTTAGATACTTTAGTGTTCAGCTCTCAATTTAAATAAAATAATTTTTAAGATACTCATTGCATTTTATACTGATATTGCCATTGAATAACATATTGTTATAATACTCGCTGTCGTAACCGATTTACGATGCGACGGGTTCAAATCTTCGATTGAATAAAATACTCCAAACAGTTATTAGTTATTAAACTTTATTTACAGAAGAAATCAACTAATCGTTTATTTCTAGCAAATTCAAATTAACACAACAATTAACTTTTAAATTGTTCAAAATCTATCGCTATGACAACGTCAACAAAACAAATTAAATATCGCTTTAAATAATTCACCGAATCGCTTTTCACAAGTCACGAATTTACAAAATCACTAATCACGGATTTCACTAATCACGGATTTCACTAATCTTCTTGCGACGTGCGCTTATATACTCTTCGCAAGCGTCGTTTCTAGATTCTTCTCGATGGTCCGATTCTAGCATACTCTAGAATGCTCCAGTCACTAGAACATTCTAGAATACGCTAGAATCTAGTGCGTTCGGTAGCACGGTTATAACAATATGTAGGAGTAAAATGAAACGTTTGATCTCAACTTTGACATGGAAACAACTACGCCATTACACCTTATTTTGCGTTGTCAACGATCAGGCGCCGGAGTCCATCTGCATCTATTTATTTATAATCGATGAATGACGTCATTACTTCTCTTGCCTCAAGTATCAGGTTGGTGCAAAAATAATGTCGGTTTTCTACCATCCATTTTAAAATGCAATAAATTTGCTTTCATTTGAGATATTTAATCAAAATAAGAACCATCATAATTTATGCACATTTGCCAACGAGAAATTAAATTATTGATGCCTGTAGCATAAAAATCAGGGGTTCTAGAGGCGACAAACTGTAAGAAGGCATTTTTTGTAGCTTCTTCGGTTTTGAAGCACTTTTCACGCAAAAAGTTGTTGAGGTGTTTGAAAAAGTGGAAATCTGTTGGTGAGAGGTCTGGTAAGTATGGTGGGTGAGGGAGAATCTCGTAACCCAACGCGTTCAGTTTTTTTAGCGTTAGTTGTGCGACGTGTGGTCTGGCGTTATCGTGGAGAAGAATCGGACCCTTTCTGTTAACCAATTCAGGACGTAGTTGGCGTAATTTCTGGTGCATCTCATAAATTTGTTGGCAGTACATCTCTCCATTAATCGTTTGACCAGGTTTTAAAAAGCTATGGTGAATCAATCCAGCTGCAGACCACCAAACTGTCACCATTAACTTTCTTTAGTACAATTTTGGCTTGGAAAAGTGTTTTGGACTTTCATCATGGTCCAACCGCTGAACTGAACGTCGTCTGTTATCATATAGGATCCATTTTTCATCACACGTCACAATCCGGTCAAGAAGCGGATCGTTTTTATTACGCAGAACAAGTGAAGCTGACACCTCAAAACGCCGAATTTTCTGATTTTCGTTCAACTCATGTAGAACCCACTTGTCAAGTTTTTCGACTTTACCAATCTGTTTCAAATGACGAACTACTATTGTGTGATCAACCTTGAGTTCATTGGCAACTTCTCGAGTCGTTTTAGCTGGGTTTGCGTCAATAATTTCCTTCAGTTTGTCATCATCAATTCCGGTTGGTCGCCCGCAACCCTCTTCATCTTGGAGGCTCATGTCACCAGTACGAAATTTTTAAAACCATCTTTGTGTGGTACGCTCAGAAGCACCGACGTCGCCCAATGCTTCCACAATATTACGAGTTGCCCTGCCGCATTATGCCCGAGTTTAAACTCATGAAGCAAAATAATCCGAAAATCACGCTTAGACATTCTCAAATATCGCTCAAAATCAAAAACACTGAATAGTTGGACCAATTAATTAATAAAACTAGATAGAAGAATAAATAACCATCAAAATGATATATAATGATCAATATATTCAATAAACTGTATTTAAAAATTTAGTGATGAAAAATTTATTAACATAAAACCGACATTATATTTGCACCAACCTAATAGATGGGAAACACGATTAGGGCGATTCCAGTTTAAAATTTCATGACTATTGCTCAAACGTATTCTTCACATTATAAACTTAAGCAAAGGTAGAAATGACGTCACACATGCACCGTAATTGTTGCATGAAGATCCTAATATCTAGATTTACATGATTGGCAAGTTAAAAAATAATAACGCAAACTCTTCCAAGCCAACGTTTGTGTGAATCTGTTCATTTCAATTCCTATTTGTAATTCAACGTATGTGCATAACGAAGGTGCTTTGAAGAGTAAATTGTTTTCTGGTCTTTTCTAAATATTTTAAAACGGAGCAAGCAGTCTGCGCTTTAATTTTTCTTTATCTTTTTACACAAATGTTATATTAATTTTGTTCTTTTTTACTCAGGTCTTTTTGTTTGACAACTTTGGAAACCACTTGACGGTTTTGCTTTCAGCGGGCTCTAAACAAAGTCCCAAAGCCAAGTTTCACTTTTTAAAAAAATTACTACTGAAACAAATATCTTGGTCAAGTGTCAACTCAACTATATTTTTTATTATTTGATGTCGTGACGTTATTATACTTTATATCCAGTTTTACGAATCGCGAAATTTTTTCAAAAACATTGAATTACATGTAGGAGATGAACAAAACTTCATGACTTGAACGTTGACCTGGAAACATTTACATCATTTTATAAACACCCGCGATGGTAGATGATTCCCTTATGAAATATGATATATAAAATTTTGTGGATTATACATTGCTTATTGGGTTAGTGTGTAATAATGCTATTACACAAATACATTACTAATGATCGAAACCAATTTTTACTAATTTCTTAACAATGGCACGATTGTATCAAAATTTCGCATAAAAGCAGCAAGTGAATGTTTTTCTTAAGTAGGTGGCCACTTTTTCTTAAGTAGGTGGCCACTTTTTCTTAAGTAGGTGGCCACTTTTTCTTAAGTAGGTGGCCACTTTTTCTTAAGTAGGTGGCCACTTTTTGTAAACGGTTTGCATCCTGCATCTCCAAGAATAATTTTAATTATTTGTTCGTTTATTTTTATTTTTACGGAGTTTGAGCTTTACGATGGGCTGCAATATATCTGACCACTATTTTTATCTTCTAATGCTTCTTTTTCTTGAACTTTTACTTCGGCCTCATTGTCTTATTTCAATCCGCAGTGATGAATATCCACTAAATACTGCTCTATTTTTAATTATAAGTATTTCATTATTTGTTGGATACACATTTACAGAATCTTATTTTTTTCCTAGAATATCTTAAATTTTGTCAAAATATTTCACCTCTTCCAGAAATTGTATTACCGCCATTATATTTTCGTTAGTTTCAAAATTATCAATTAAGTTTTCTGGTAATGCAGTCTTTTAAATTTGGTTTTATCACATTTAAAAATATGTTGTGTTAATATCACAATATTGGCAAATTGGTTTTCCTGTTCTTTATTAAACAATTATGCGTTAGATCGATATGTTCATTGTTCAACCATGATTCTATGAATTTTACTTGGGGTTAATTGATTGTTAAAAATTCTGTTTCCTTATTTCAATGTTTGGGTATAGTTGACGAAGCTGAGTTTTAATAGTTTTAATAGCTAATAGTTTTAATTAACTTATCTGAATATAACCTACTATAATAAAATCCCATTTGGTCGATATCCTTTTTTAAAATTTAACTTGTGAAAAAGTGAATAACATGAATATGACAAAAAAAAATCAATTAATTTTGAGGAGTGCCAATTAAACATGAAATGGAAAAATATGATGAATTAATTTTCCCCAACCATGGAAAAAGTTACCAAGTAAAACAAAAAACTATTTACTATTTACATCTGTATGGATATGGTTAGTGTTGTAAAATGACTAAGGAGCTAAATTCGATGTTCAAGAAAATGATGAAAGTAACATAAGGTAACAAAAACATTCCTGGTGTTAGAGATGTTCGATAAATGTGGTTATCATGTTGAAAAATAGTTAAATCCTGCGATTTTTGTTATTATGTAATCAAAAATATAATTCAACTAAAAATTAACCGTGACGAAAACTATGTGATGAGAAGAAAATTAAACAAACATTGCAAACTATTAAAAATAAGTTCTTTAATAATATAAAATCGTTTGCAGTATCTTTAAAAACTGATTCAACTTTCTAAGAAATCTTAGTGGAGTCGACAGCATTTATATTAAGCAAAAAACAAACTTGAAGTCTGAATAAAAAAAAATTATTATCCCCACATTACATTTAAAAAAAATAATATTTAACAATTAATGTAAGAAATCATAATAATAACTTTAGTTTACATGACGTCATCAAAATGTATTTGTAAGTAATCAAAAAAATGTAATAAAGATGATGGAATAAAAAACAAGAACTTTGATAAAACATCTTACGTGAACAGCAGATGAAACATTTACGCAATTATACAATGCAGAAATAAAAGTCTTCAGTTCAACATATGAAAGGAATCTTTCAATACGTACCAGTACCACACACTCAGCCAAAACGACACCAGGCTTAATATGCTGACTTGTTTATGTAAGTTTAATGATGTATGCATTTCACGTACAAAGGGCTTGACAAGTTCATTCCAACGATGA